GAATGTGTTCATTTGCTTTTGATGATGTATGCATGTCAGCTTTGAGCTGTGACAGAGGCTTGACCATGTTCATTAGCATAGCTGTTAGGCTCCAGCAGTGGTTCTCTTATTCTTGAGCCACCATGATGTTTCAGCAGCTAACAACTTTGGCAACAGATAGCAAAGGATCTGTACTCACTCCCAGATTTCAAGTCCATCCAATAAAACACAGGGATAGTATGGCTTTGAAAATAAAACCTTACTAGTTTGTTGGGGTTTTTTCAATATAAAAATGCATTTTTTAGAATGATTTTTTTTTTCTAAAATGGTCCATGTTGTCTGATTTTTTTTTTTTTTTTAAATAAATAAATAACCAAACCTTCAGTTGCAAGACAAACAGCTGTCCTGAAATATTTTGGCCTGGATTCTTGAATTCTAGCAAAGCTGTAATAAACTGTAAGGTATTACAGCAGGAAGCTTCAGACAACATAATAATAACACTCTTCAAGTATACGTAAACATTTTTGAATTATTTGTTTATGAATATTGGTTGTTACTTGCCATTTTTTCCTTTACTAATATTTCCAGTCACAGGTGAGTGTTTCAGAAGAGAAAACATCAAACTGCTGTTGTGAAAACTATGCAGGTTCTGCAAGTTTAGACATTTCACTCTACAACAAACAAAATTCCTTTCCCAAAGCATCTGCGCACAAAATCTGGCCAGTCTCTTTAAGATGGATCGAGAAGATAGAGATATTTGATTATTGTAGAAATAACATACTGTATTTGTATGTGTAATGGCTGCTTATGCGTAACAGCTGCCTTCATTTACAGAGAGTGACTGATAGTAATAATTGAGAATACACAAAATGTCTTTATTTACTCTGTTTCCCTCCTGTGTTTTGGGCAAAATCAAGAAAGGGAGACGAACATGTGACCTTATGTACTACTAAAGATCATTACTGATTTTGTTTGCCCAGTAATGTCAGAATTGCCTATGACCTTAAGCTGCTTTTGTAAGGAGATGATTGTTGCAAATTAATAATCCTGTAGTATAAGGTTACCACATTTTAATCGAAGAAAAAGAAGTGACAGAGCATGCCTTATGCCTTAGGTTTCCCTATACATATGACCCCCTAAAAACTAGATCATGGGAACTGGGCCTGTGATGCCTACTTCCATTTTAAAAAAAAAAAAGTTCCTCTCTTAAGTTGCAGTGTTGTAGAAATGGGAAGAGTCCTACGTCTTGATCATAGGATACAATTACTTGATCCATATACTATTTCCAAATCCCAGGACAGAATAGATTCCTGACAATACTCACTGACAGAGCCTGTAAGTAAATACTGTCTTGACTAGTCTATGATGTTTGACCAGTAATATATGGAAAATAAAGTAAGTTTAGATCCAAATTTTGCAGTCCTTAAGTGCAAGCTCTTACATCTTTACATCATTATTTTGTAATAGTACACAGTCCTCAGATTTTACTTAACTAGAATAGCTTTGTTTTTTTTATTTAAATGGTAGTCTGCACTTTTCTACAGTACAGTTATATCTAGATAAAATACGTATCTGAAATGCTTTTTGTAGTAACAAAATAAGAAAAACCTGTGTATTTATACATTACGGATTGGTTGGTGCGTCCCCTACCCAGTGCCTTGCTAAAGATGATTTTTATAAAATATTTTAATACTATAAAAATACTAAAAATAGAAAATACCTGAAATGCTTTTGGATTTAAAAATTATATTAACTCTAGTCTGCTGATTGAGACAGTTACGGAAGAAGTGCATTAGCTCCAGCTGCTGTTCTATTGTCTATTTAAATAATTTATTAAAACTCAGTGAGATGAGGTTCAGCACATGACACTGGAACAGATTCATTCTAGACCCAGCAGGTTGATCTGCACTTGAAAATAAAAGGTGATCTTTTCCGCTTGTCCACCACTCTGGCCTGTGCACTCCTGCCCTCCCTCTCCTTTACACCAGCAGTAAAAAACCTGTAACTTTTCTGAAGGGTAAACCTTTGTGCTGGGTTAATTCCCTGAACCCAGTCACTGTGTCGGCAGTGGAGTGTCAGGGATGGCTCAGTGGAATTAGCGGATGATTATTACAGAAAATGGATTAGGGCAGTGGGACTTTCCCAGCTGGCTGCAGCTAGTCATTTTTCATGTTTCAGATCAAAGTCACAACAGTGTAGAAGGCATCTTTATTTTTTTATTAAGCTACAAATTTACAAATACAGTAACACAGATGTGTAGTATTTTGAAAACCCAGACTTGAATGTTTTCATGGCAATTAGAACAAATATCTTTGTACCAAATACAGGACTAATCTGACCTTTGTGTTACTTGCCAGGCTGAAAGTGAATTGCAGAGAGCTTCATTGGATGCAACTCGAACAACTCGGCAATTAGAGGAAACCATTGATAATTTTGAGAAACAGAAAATAAAGGACATAAAAGTATGTGTGCTTATGTTTCAGTATATGACATCATATTTCATCTTGAATTACAAAATTACTATAGTTACTCTTTGGCCAGACTGGCAACATTTAGTATTAACTTAAGCCTACATAAATATAAATCTTGTAGTATTCATGAATATTTCATAATCCAACTATCATGGACTTTGCAATTAAAAAATCAGTTCATTATTCTTACAGTTTACTGAATTCAGAATTTTCCTGTATTCGATTGTTTAGCATCTGCACCTTCCAACAGTTGCTGTGTTCTACTTCACTGCTAGCGACATTTGTTAGTGGAATGATATATGCGGGTTAGTATCAGCAAAATTAACAGAAATAGTGATAAGTAAATAATATATTTATCCATGCTGCAATTTGTGTAGGTTACTGCAGTTAAAAGTTTTACTGATGCAGAAAGCATGAAATGTTCAGTGACTGCAAGTAATCAAAGCTTTCATTTCTCTCATGTCAAACATTAAGTGTCTTAAGTCCCAAAGACTACAGTGACTGAAAAACACTTGCGTTATGTGATCTCAAATTTAATTACAAAATTGCTGAAGTGAGATACTTTTTTTTATTGAGGGGAAAGAAAAAAGACAACAGACTAAATAGGAAAGAATGAAAGATGGTTGAAAAACCCAACCAAATCAACCACTACTTGATGTTAGAGTAATATGAAAAAGATTGTGAGAGTTCTGAAGATAACATTAAGTGTTTTGTTACAGATGAAGACTTTTATTATATAAAATGTATAATTATCTGTAAATTATAGACATGTACAGAATTTACAGATAATTTATCCCCAACCTGTTAAAAAAGACTGCCATCAATAAAGCAAAACCCCACAGACTACATCTTGTGAATGCATATTGGGGAATATCAAGTGAGTTTTCAGCATGACATTTTATTTATCCCTAATGAGTCTCCTCTTCGCTTTTCAAGCATTTATTTAGAATTTAGTATGAAATGACAACTGCGTAAGTGACAACCCAGCCAGCATTTATGTTTAATTTCTAAAATCCAGGTCTGACTACTTAAAAGTACTAGGTATTGTGCAGTTACTTGCATCACGTAAACACCAAGTAGAGAATTCAGTAATTTCTTTTAATTTGAAGTGGACATGTACTTTACTGTATTAAGAAAACCTTTGTTTTCATTTGCTTTTAGAACATATTTTCTGAATTTATAACTATTGAAATGTTATTTCATGGGAAAGCTTTAGAGATATATACTGCTGCCTACCAAAATATCCAAAACATTGATGAAAATGAAGATTTAGAGGTAAGTGTGATTCAGATTTGCTTTTCAATTTACTTAGTACACAAAACCAGTTTTCACACTTTAAGGCTATACATGTCCCAGGCAGAAAATGCAACGTTATGTTTCAGGTTCCCAGAACAAGTTTCTTATGTATACTGAGCCCTTTTTCACACTTCTTCAGCAAAAATGTGCAGGTTTATAAACTTAACAGATTTTAAACACAGAGAAGAACTGCAGTCGCAATCTAATCTTTCCCACAATAAAATAAGATTGTGGGAAGAGATAAGAGATCTTTTATGAGATCTTTAAAATCTCTTATAAAAGGTAAGAGACTTTTCCTAAATTAACTGCCACTCCAAGCTCAGCTAATCATAGTTTTTAAAGAACACCTCTGCAGTGAATCTCGCTGTAAAAATGCACAGTAAGACAAAATCTTACAGTACTCTGATAAGATGTTCTAAAGACTAATTGCTTCATTAAAAATGTCGCTCTTCTTTCTATTCTGAGGTTTTTTTGCTTGTTTTCATCTTTCAGTCATTGGTTTTTATTAGGGTGTTCTAGAATTAAGAGACATTTGTTACCAAATTGCTTTTTTTGCCTTGTGGCAGTTATAGCTTCCTTTCAAGTCACCCTTTCTGTTCGCTTTGAGTTATAGTCTCTTTCCCAAGACATGTTTTTCAGTTCTTTATTCATTCTTGCAGTTCTTCTGGATGTGGTGTCTTTAAACTTACTATCATTGAAATGTATGTTGTGTATATATGTGTTCAGCTTGTCAAGAAAGTTTTTTCAGTCTTTTTTTGTAAATTGTATCAATCCTAATTTTCTTTTAACCATGATGTAGCTCAGGACCAAGGATGGCAGTATTCAGTTAGTGCAAGACATACAAAATCATGATTCTTCAGTGACAGTCACATTCGAGACTATTTGGTATTTTTGCTTCATTTAAGCTACACCATGGCAGTTTCGTACTATTCTAGTTTCACCATTAAAGTGTCATTAAGTCAATACTTTTAATAACTTTCACAAACAAACTTCTAATCTCATTTTAAATTTTCTGTTAATTGAACAATATTCACTTTCCATAAAAACAGACTGGCCATAATTCTACCATCTTAGTAATGTCTTGCACAAATAGCTTTATTATTTTTAGTATCAGGCTGTTAGTCTTATAATTTACTCTTTTTTGGCTATTGGAAAGAACTTGTAAGTGTAATGGATATTACAGTCTCGCATGTATTCTGAGGGTTTTCCCAAATTTTTCTTGAGCTGCACATCTCCTGTACATTTCAGATAAAATTTCTGTGATGCAGCTGTGACTGACAGTAAGGATTTGCTTGTGAAGTGCCTAAGAGTTCATCTCTCCAAGAATCTGAGAGCATCATGGGAGTTGCCAGGGTTCATACCTCTAGGTTAGCCTGAAACTCAGCTACATATGTTGCTGGGAAACCATTGCAGTTTTACACTTGTAAATTCCCTCAGACCTCTGAAGAATGTTTACTTTGACCACGTTAAGTGTGTTGATATGTCTCAAGTTGAGCAAGGATGTTGTTTCAGCTAAAAGTGATCAATCCAAACTAAAGCTGATGCATATCTCTAGTGCAGGTTTAATTGTCCAATGCTGCATTTTTGTTAGCTTCAGACTTGGTGATTGTTAGCTTGCAAGTTGTATCATGGCACCCAAGTCACAGCTTTCTTCATTTGAACAGGTTTTTCGGAGCTCACTCTATCCACCAGACTATCAATCCCGCTTAGACATTGTTCGTGCAAATTCAAAGTCCCCCCTGCAAAGAACTGGCTCCTTAAAATCTTCACTGAGGACAGTACAGGTAAGAAAGAAAAATTAAATGCTAGATCATTATTTTAAAAGAACATCTTAAGTACAGCCTTAGCTAATGTACATGGATCCACTATTTTACCTAATTCAGGACAGTTACAAAGGTGAAGAGACTTCCAAGGGCATAAAGATTATATTAAGCCTGTAGTACTGCAGCTTCTAATTGTCATTTTTATTTGAGGAAAAACAAAATCAGCTTTTAAAGATGCACTGTCTACTTTTGAAAAATGCCATTTCCAGCAATACTATTTCTTCTATCAACAAACCGTGGCATCTTGCAGAGAAAAGATCTAGGAGCAGAGCAAACCCATGACCAACAGAACTTTCCTTTTATATTCTGATAATTCAGACCAGGTGAGGAAAAGGAGGATGATAAAAATAAATGAAAGATATGGAGAACGTGCCACTGCTTTTGAACCAGCTACCTTGCAAAAATCTTTGATGCTAGTTTGCAGCAGTAAACTTGCAGACATAGCAAAATGCTGTTTTCTTTATTGCAGCCTTAATCCCGTAACTAAGATGGTTCTTACCAGTGTTTCAGTTAAAGACAAAGTACATTTTTATATTTAAAATGTACTCATCCCGCTTTTCTTCTTTGGATAGAATCATGCGGTGATATTGTAATACTAAAAAGTTTTCTTGACTTCATACACACCATTACCCCTTCTCTGCTCTCAAGACAGAAAGGATCAATTATTACCGTTGAGTTACTCTATTGTTGAAAGTATGAGTCATGCCATCTGAAAAGATAAAAGAACCCAGTGATTCAGTGCATGAAGACCAACCATGTGAGTAAGTTGCCTGTCCTCTACCAAACAAGCAAATTTCACATTCAGGCTACTTCAGAAAATGTTTACCCCCCCGCCCCTTTTTTTTTTTTTTGAAGACCAGAGGAAGCTGTCAAAAATCTGTTGCCATCCTCCCTGAGAACTTCCTGCAGTGCTGTAAAACTCTATAGGGGTATATAAAGGGTATAAAAGTGTACAGAAGCATCTATAATTATTTTGAGGTGTCACAGCTGTGTTTTGGACTCTCTTTAAAATAAAAGGAAAAAAAAAACCCAGAGAGAACTGAATGTATGTACACTGTGATTTCTCTCAGAGATGGAGTGGAACTCCATTTTGAGTAACTTGCGAGTTTACCTTGCTCTTCTCCTAGACATCTCTTTTTAGCTATAATTTCAGATGTTAATCTTCTCATAACCTCTTACTGGAATATCTGGAAAGAATGGGAAATCATCTAGACTTAGAGGGAAACTGCCATACATTTCAAAATAACGTCATCTTACCGGGCTATGCAGTGTATCTGCAGAGGAGGATCACATGGCAGAAAAAAGGAGTGGAACACCTTAGTAATACTATAGGGCAGTAAAGAAGAGGCAGGCATCCTTCCCCTTCTGATTCTGCAAATAGTATGCTGCATCAGGATCAGTACCTTGAGTTACACTAAGGGCTCTAATCTCTGGAACCCACTAAACATCTCACTAGCAAAGAATGCTGCATTCAGAAAAACCTTCAGGTGACTTGTCCTACCTTTCTGTGGATCTTTCACTCCCAAAATTCTCACAAGCCTGGTTTCATGCTACATAGTAATTATTTACTGACCATAATGCAGTACTTTGGAATGTGCAATGTGAAGCAGTATAAATACGGTAATCGATTCACAGAATCACAGAGTAACATGCCAGTAGGCGGACATGGGGGGACGGGACACAACACAAACACTAACCTGTAGGTGGGGGGCGAGAAGTCATTGCGTACCACATGGGATAAACTGTGCCAGAAACACAATACTTGTCTTTCAGATTTAGCACATACCATCCTTGAATTTATTTCTGGTTCTGGCAACTACCTTTCTGTATTATTTCCACATTAAAAATCTAAGGTAGACCTTGAGCTTGATTCATTTTTTCACAAGAGCTACCTCCTTTTAAAGTTCTCGTGCCTTAACATGATGTCATGTTGCTTTGTCAAGCAATATGACAATCTTAAGCATGTCCTGTCACTTAGTCCTGGAGTGAGTATTCTGGGAGGAATACTATATACTAAATTATCAAAAGCAGGAATTTGCAAAGGTCACTGATATTTTTGTGTCCATCCTAATGCTTTTGTCCCTTGACTCTCTCCCCTTGACTTTCAGTTATTTTCAGCTCATGCTCAGACTAGCTGAAGCAATCGAGATGCTAGTTTCTCCATCCTGACAGACTTCATTTAGTGGTGTAAAACCACAAGGAAAGGAGCAATGGGCAGTCCTGTTCATTAAAAGAATTCATGTCCCAAGCTGCACTGACAGTACAACAATAAGACTTGCATTTCTTTTCTCATTTCTACACAATTGATATGATCAGGAGAGAAAATTTGTACGCACCAGGAAAGCTGTTTCTTATAGGATAGTTCCCCATTATGAGAAAACCTCTTCGGGGTTCAGGGCTTTTTTTAACCATGACTATTGCAGATGCTTAGTTTTACACAAGTTCTGAAAAGTCTATTTAAGTTTTCACAACAATCTGTTGTAAATCCCTTTGTTTTGCACTTTACTTGGCAATTTATCTTCAGCGTTTTGTTTTACTGATTCAGGTTGTTATGCTATATTTTAGACAGAACTATAGCAGAAGAGAATTACCTTTTCCAGATATTTTAAATCAAACTTAAACTACACAAGTTTTGTCCATGTGCATTTAATATAGCCAACTGTTTTGCACCTGCCCTCTAAGACAGCAAAGTATCATTTTAACCATAGTTGACAGTGTCTGCATCCAGGCATTCCAACACTGCCTGCTGTGCAAGACATGAGGAGAATTGCCGTGCTTTCTGTGGTGGCACATGCAGTGAAACATGCAGCTTAACTGCTTAAGCAAGGACGGTTATCACCTGCATGCAAACTTAAGAGAATTCATTTTCACATTAAATTGCTTATGATGAGCAACAAATTATCAGATTGCATTAAATGTTTTAAATTATTTTTTCAGCATTAAGTAATCAAAAATTCAATTTTCAAGTACTGATGTATTCTAGCTTTATGGCAAAATAACATGGATTTAAACTGGCTAATTTCCTTTCTCATTTTCCTTACTATGATCCAGTTTGATTCTTAGGTTAGCCCTTTTACCACCACCTCACCACTACCAGTAATAGTATTTAATTTACTATTTAGTTAATTATAGCATGGTCAGAGGTACTTGAGTAGTGAGCAGAAAAAACAAACGTAAAGCCAAAATAGCACCTCTTATTTCAGGAAAGGGGAAGGGAGAGCTTTTATTCAGAAGTATGACTGAAGTTGTGCTTAAGAATTTCAAATGCTCTTAACTAGAAAAAACTTGGAAAATTAGTCTATCCATTGAAATGAAGCTACCTTAACAGACTCAATCTGCAGCACTCCTTAATCTCCAATTACAAATCAGTGTCATGTCTTTTTCTTCTTTCACAGAATGTAAGACTGCTGTTTTAGGCATTTAGGCTCATGTTAACCCAGCTCCATCTAATTATTAACTCCATTTTCTGTTATGTTCAGAGATTTGTCGGCAAGCATTTGCTTCAAGCTAAATTATGTACTGTATGAGCATCAAGAAGACTAAGGATTTTTGGCTTTCATTCGTTCAATGATTGCAGTTTGCTTTATGCACACACACAAAAAAACCTTTTGTTACATACATACATACCTGCATGGACTATGAAATCTCAGAAGTCACTTTTAATAAACATCATTTAAAGACTTTTTAAAAAGGGGGTTGTTTAAAAAATAAAAGGCAAGTTTTGTCTTCAATATTGAAGTTTTATTTTATTACTGTATGTAAGAAAACTCAGAAAATATAACCAAAATTAGAGTTGCAGATG